TTCTCCTTCTTCTTCTTCCTCTTCTTCTTCTTCTTCTTCTTCTTCCTCCTCTTCTTCTGCTTCTTCTTCCTCCTCTTCTTCTGCTTCTTCTTCCTCTTTTTTATATATAGAGTTCAATGAAGACCAAATGCTTGTGATAGTTCGAAAAATAACATATTTAAATTGTGCATCTGAACGCAGAAAAAATACATTGATCAGTACCGCCTTTCAGCCAAAACGCGCTACTGCTACACAGAAGTACATATAAAAAATACATTGATCATCAACGATCTTTTTGTATAGAATCTAAATCGTCAATAAGAATCTACCACCGATTTAAGAACCGGCGAAGACTCCTATTGCAGCCACAGATCCTACACATAGAGTTCAATGAGGACCAAATGTTTGGGATAGTTTGAGAAGTAACATACTTAAGGTGGTCAAATTCTGGTTAGGGGAGCGAGGTGGGACTAAAAATAGCGCCTGCCACAACCTATTTAGTACCGGTTCGTGCCACGAACCGGTACTAAAGGTGCTGGCTGGGCACCAGCATCTTTACTACCGGTTCGTGTCACGAACCGGTACTAAAGATTCCCAAAGAACCGGTACTAAAGATCACCTCCCGCCAAGTCATTTGAACCGGCACTAATGGGAGTATTAGTGCCGGCTCATATGCGAACTGGTACTAATGTTTCACATATTAGGTCCTTTTTCTACTAGTGTTATTATTGTCGGATTTCATAATTCCCAGTCGCTTGAGAATTAGTTAAACCTACGTGAAGGACTATCAATCTGATGATATCCTTGTAAGATTTTATTTTTCTTGAACTCTTAGAATAAATTGCACTAGATGAAAGAATTGTTATATCACGATAATGACGATTTGTGTCAACATATTAGTAAAATCTGCTGAGATAATACAATGCTTTTATAGTAGACACACAATTTCTATAATACAATTAAGGTGTTTTTAGATTTGCGTGAATAAATTTACAATTCTCAGTCCACTAGAATAGTGGAAGCCTACCCTAGGTGAGATAATCAAAGGTTTGTAGTTGTAGGATTACAACTTGATCTCCAAGGCACCTATACAAGGAAAACTATCCGGAGATTTTGTATGACACGATTACATACTTTAACCATCACATCAGTACGTAAGTTAGCATTGATCTGCGAGCATGCGCGATCTCTCTCACCAACAGAGAGATCACGACCAAAGTAATGTATTCACAAACATTTCCATGCGCGCACTATTTCCTGCCGGCGTCCCGCTGAATGTACTTGAGCACCTCGGCGGGCGGCACGCCGCGCCACACCCGCGGCCGCGGCACGCTGTGGCCGAGCTTCGCGAACCCGTGCGCCACCCTGTTCCCTCCCCGGCGCACGTGCGACACGGCCATGCCGTCGCCGAGCAGCGGGAGCAGCTCGGCGATCTCCTTCCACAGCCTGAGGTCCTCCTCCGCCCTGCCCAGGCGCGGACGCCTGTGGCTTCCCCGCGCGGCTTCCACGGCAGACAAGTCATCGCCCTCGACCCAGACGCCGCTCCACCCGTTCTCCAGCGCCAGCTCCAGCCCGCGCCGGAGCGCGGCGAGCTCGGCCACGGAGCTCGTGGCCGCGCCGATCCGCTCCGCGTAGCCCAGCACGAACTCGCCCTTGTGGTCCCGGTACACGCCGCCGATGCTCGCGCTCTGGGACGCGTGCCTGGAGGACCCGTCGAAGTTGAGCTTCAGGCGCCCCGCCTCCGGCATCCTCCACTTGCTCGGCGAGTCTCCGCCGCCGTGCAGGCTCCGCCGCGCCTGGTACCCGCCTCCCATCGCCACCGTTGGCATTGCCATTGCCATTGCCTTGTCGACGAGGAGTGCAGATACGGGGACGCGCTGCAGCATCGCGCCCAGTGGTAGTCGAAGGTGCACACGCAGCATGGTTGCCAGGAGAACGCGCGATCTTGACGTGTATTTAGCGTTTGTGCATGCATGCAGTTGCTTGAAGCCACTACTCACGTAGCATACATGAATTGGAGAACACAAGCACTTCAGCGTAGAATGGCGATGCCGGGATTGATTAGGTCAATGCATATGGGGAGGATGGGGAAGAGGAATAAGAAAGCGGATGGAAGCGAAGTATTAGAAATGGTTTAAGAGGCGGGCGATCGAGCTAGCTAAGCATATGCCAAGGTTGGGGGGAGGAGGAGGGTATCTGTCCGAGACTTGTTGCCCTAAATTGCCTGTCAGGGAAGCAACCGCACGTTGCTTGCAGCCTCTAAATTAGCGAGTGCCAGGCTGCGTTCGGGCTTAAAAGTTAAAACCACCGGAGTTCCCATGATCTCCATGCATGTAGCGTGTGGGGGAATTGCCGTCACGCATGCAAGTCGTGGCTTGTGTCAACTGTTGACCGCCGTGAAGAATATTCTGCGGGGAAAAATTAGAATGTCTACAAACTAGATTCACTGCACATGCAAAAAAAAGAAGGAAAACCCCAGCGCTACAGGTGCACATAGTCATTCGTTATTGCAAAGTATCAACTTTCGAATTAAGGAGTAGCACAACCAGATGGTAAAAATATTACAAGATTAAAATGTGTACTCCCAACTCGCTCCCACGGTAGCAGCCAGGCTTGACCCCAGTCGTCGCCCCCGTCTCCTACCCTCCCCATCCACCTCGTCGTGCCAGAGGAAGATGGGGTGGAAAGCCCACCTTGAGCTACAGGACTCCTTGGTTGGAGAGCACTGCGCGTCCCTGGACGGTGACATGTTGGCAGAGATCAGACGCGGGGGCAGCGGCCCTTGGACATCTAGGCGATGGTCATGTCGTGGCGGATACTGAGTGGTGAGTGAAACCTCACCTAAAGCCGATGCAATGGAAACATCTTTGAACTGGACACTGGTATATGTTTGGGTATGGAGACTTAGCAGTGTATCCCTGCCTAAGTATCTTTCCAAAATTTCGTATTTAGGCCATTCCCCACCAAGAAAGATCCTTATGGTTAAAATAATCATCTTTAACAATCATCAAACCTCTCTAGGACCGTGAATCGATATTGGCTTTGCCACACCTTTTCCTCATTTACTAACCTGAAAAGCCATTTACTCGACAAGCACTTTTCCTAATTTTAAGGTGTCAACCACTGGACCGCCTCGATATTTTGGCCTACAAATTATATTCCACTTAGCTAGCCGATACATTCGTTTATGTTCATCACATTAAGAAAGAATCTAGATATGTAATAATTCAATCTTTTATGTACCCATTTGGGTATCTCAAAGAAGAAAAACATAAACTTTGGTAGGCTAGCAGGTAAAACAATGAACAGGACAAGAGGACCCCCATAGGAAAGTAACTTGCCCTTCCAACCGTTGAGCTTTTTCTTGAAGCAATCCACAATACCCTTCAATTCCTTATCCAAGAGTTTATAGTGATAAATGGATAAACCGGGATACTGAAGTTGTGATCCAATCTCACAACCAAACAATTGTTGGTACTGGTTCTCAACTTCTTTGACCTTCCAAGGAAGAACAACACCTTTGTGGATTTAATCTTAAGGCATGATAACCATTCAAATGCAGAGATGATTAGCTTCATATTAATTTCCTTCTGCATGTCATGTGCCACAGATATAATGGACATATTGTAGTTTGGACATCCACCATCCATAAAGCATGGCAAAAAGACAACAACATAACCATCCACTTTGGCCCTTGCAAAAAGGATCACCAACATATCCACAACAAGGATCACTAACATAATCAACAATGATGTTGAAGAGAATAGGTGGCAGAGGGTCACCCTCCGCAATCTCCGTCTGGTATAAAAATAATAACCGATGCCTTTATTTACCTTTTGTAACATTAATTACTGATCTTAACACGAACGTTTCCTCACCACAAAAAGACAGTAAAACATTAACATGCTTCACCTTAGTGTGACTCCTTATTATAACAAAAGGTGATATTACAAAATAGCCCGTATTTTAGCTAGAATAGATGAGAATACTGAAATATGTTAACATATTGTAAAACAATTGCTATCGTAGTTTAAATAATGAAGACAACATTAAAAAATGTTACTAGCCTTTCAAAACTGTTCACACGTTTTCAAAAATATAGCTGACATTTCAACAAATGATTATATAATGTAAAGAATGATCGTTCGCTTTAGAAAAATGTTCCATACCACTCAAAAAAATGTAGATTACATTTGAAACAATGCTCATGCATTTTAAAACAATGTTATGTACAATGTAAAAATATGTTCGCATGGTTTAAAAAACTGTTTTGTATCATTCAAAAAAATGTTTCAATGTAAATTTGAGAAATGGTTAATGTGTATTCAAAATATATACAGATTCATGTAATTGAAGAAATATTAATCATGTATTTTTTGAAAAAAATGTATACAAAAACTGCTCAATGTGTATGAAATAACTAGACATATATTTGAAAAATATTAAACATGTATAAGATTTTTCCTAATGTATACGAACATTGTATAATGTGTATGAAAAAGTACACATGTGTTGAGAAAAAACCAAACAAATAAAACAGATAAGAAAAACCTAAGATAAAAATTACAATCAAACCACAGGCGCTATAGTATTGGCCTGGCCCACTCGGTCACGCCCGGAGGCGAAACCGAGTTACACCTAAGTACGAGAAATAGCGTTGGGACACCGCTAGAGTTATATCTTGCTTAAAGCGAGATGGAAGAAGCTCTTGCATGAAGTGTCCGCAGTAATGGGATGGCCCATTAGCGCACCCTTACAACAAATGAAATACACACAAAAATGGCACCAGGTAGGGGCCGAACTCAGGTCTCCTTGTTGCTGGCTTATTGCGCAGAGAGGTTCGTGGCAGAACAGAAGACGCAGCCTACTTGAGGGAAAAGGCCCAATTTACTGCCGGTTTTCCTCTTTCTTATTTTCCTATTCCGTTGTTTTGTCAACAGATTTCTTCGTTTCTTTTCTCTCCTTTTCAGTGGATTTTCTGTCTTTCCTTTATTTTTCTTTTTTTTCGCTTTCATTGCTTCTTTTTGGTTTTCAGTATATTTCTTCCTCAATTTATATTTTTTTAGGTTTTGTTGCTTATTTTACCTTTTTCATTGGGGTTTTTCAGTACACATTAAAAAATTCATTAGAAATATTTTTATATACACGTTTAGCATTTTTTAAATACATGATTAACACTTTTTGACAACTTCATGCCTACTTTTGCCATACATTTGTACACTTTTTATATATCAATTATATTTTCTAATCCATATTTAATATTTTTCAAATACAAACACAACAGTTCTTATTACATAATCAACATTGTTTCTATACATTTTAAAAAATCAAATGCTTGATTAACATTTTTAAAATACAAGATTAATTATTATTTTAATATGTGGTTAAATATATTATTATATAATTTTTGTAAATTTTCAAATGCTAAATTAACATTTCACAAACAAGATTAACTTTTTTTAATATATACTCAACATTTTTTAATATATGTTCAACATTTTTTGTATACACATTTCACATTTTTAAAATGTTTCATTAACATTTAAAATAAATATTCAATATTTTGCTAATTATTTTTTATAATATATGGTCAAGTTTTTATACACATTTAATTTGGTATACATGAGAAACATCTATTATATACACAATTAACATTTTTCAGATGTATGGTTAACATTTTTCAAACATATGGTTAACATTTTTATCAAATATTTATATAAAGCATTTATTAATATAATTATTTGGAAGTATAAGCGAAAACAAAGAAATAACGAGGTTGTGTTCTCACGCGAGCAACGCCGGCCTAGTATGGAGGTCCCTGAAGCGAGGCTGGTATCCAACTCACATGAAGCGAGGTATAGTCGCACCCCTGGGGCAGGGGTATGAAGAAATGATACATATTGCTGTATACAATCGTTATGGGAAGCTCCTAATCTGTTTGCACCAATTAACGAGAGGGCACTCGCACGGTCGCTTGCAAGGGCCAGCCAACTAGCACGGTTACCCACTTAAAAAAAAGGTCACTACTGCTGAAGACTGCTAAGAAAAAGAAAATCCAAAAATCATGAATTCTAAAAATGTTCAAGATTTTAAAAAAAAGTTGTTTCACGAACGAAAATGGAAAAGTTCATAGACTCAAAATTAGTTCGTCAATTTTGAAAAAAAGTTCACAATGTGAAAAAAGTTCGCTAATTTAATGAACTTTAACAGATAGCGATTTCCACTTTAACGGGCGCTGAAGGCGCCGAATAAGAAATGCCATCGTTATGAGCACCACCCCAGAGCCCAGAATTTAAAAGCGGGCCAGGCCATTAGTTGCACTTTCGGGCTGGGTTATTTTCATGATTTTTCTTTCGGTTTTTGTTTAATACACAAGCAGGTTTTCCTTCTTGATTTTCCTATTTTTCGCCCTTTCTTTTGTTCTCTTTACTTATCTATCTCTTATGTATTTTTATATTTCCCGAAATTTGGAAAATGTTAAATATCTCCATAACTAATTGAAACTTCTGTAAAAATTATGTTCTAAAATTTTGTTCTTCTACTTCAAATAAACCTTAAATTTGAGAAATTGTTCAAAATTTGAAAAAAAATGTTGTTTATTTAAAATTATATTATAAATTTCAACATTGATTCAAAATTTCAAGAGAATGTTCATAATTTTCCAAAAAATGTCATACTTTTCTAAAAATTATAACTGACGTCAAGAATCCTCGTGAACTGAAATTTTGTTCACATTTCAGCAGTTATTCATTTTTAAATTCATGAGCTTGTTTCAAGTTGGTAAATTTTTTTGCAAATTTTTGAACTTAATTTGATACCATTGTTTGAATTCGTGACTTTTGGAACAGTTTTTGATTTAATGAATAATTTCCAAAATCATGAACATATTTCCATTTTGCGACTTTTTTTTAACTTGTGAACA